ATAAAGCCAAGGGGGGGCCCGTTTCCCAGCCGCCCCCGGTCGGGCTGCTCTCGGGGCGGCTGTCGCTGCCAACACTAGCAACCTCAAACAGCAGGACCCTGTCAGGGAAAGTCTGACCCAACGTTAACCATGGCAGTGCCGCCTTCGGGCGCAGCAAGCACTGGAGCTGGCATGCTCGTCTCCCCGCCCAGTCTCTCCCTTGGAAATACAGCCCTGGAAGCAGGGCAGCAGGCATCTGTTTTAATATGTGCGGGAGAGAGAGGACCTTCGGGGTGAAACGTGCCCCTACAAGATGCCTCCAGCACTCTTCAAACTAGGGTGGCTTTTGCAGAAGGTGAAGGAACTTCATCCCTTCCTCGCTTGACTGACAGGGGAGAGAGGCACAGAGATGGGAAGAGCAGGAACGTGGTCTCCTGCTCTCCTCTAGCCCCACTCAGGACACCTGTGTCCCCACCAGTGACTGCACTGCCATGAGCTGTGCCCTCGCCCTCTCCTGCCTCAGTTTCCCTGCCTGGAAGAGAAGGTGCCTTGTCGCAGCTTCCTGGTGCTTTGAGTCCGACGGGAAGAAGGGGGAGAGTCAAGCAGCGAAAACAAACTGGGAGGCTGTGACGCATCCAGACGCAACGCTCCCAAGGAGAAGCTTTCCGGCTGCTCAGCCCCCCACCCGTCTCCTGGCCAGCACCACGTGAGCCGGCGGCGAGGAGGAAGGGATCGCACCCGTGTCCTGCCAGAGGCCTCGCTCACCGTCAGAGCTCGTCGCGGGTGGCCGAGCGCAGCGAGGGGCCCGCGCCGCCCCGAGCGTCCTTCAGGGTTTTCTGTGAGCCGTTCCAGCCCGTCTTCTTGGAGTCGTCATCCCAGATGGTGGAGGTCTCCGTGTCGCTCAGCCAGTTGGTGTCCCCGGCGTAGTGGGTGGGATACACCAGGAGGGGGTGAGCCGAATACACCAGCAGGTCCCGCGGGGCAAAGTGCCGCTTGTAATCCTCGCTGGGGAAGGCAGAGCAGACCCAGGAGAACAAATCCCAAGACAGAGCGTGGCTCGGTGGAGAAAAAAGGGCTGAAAAAGCAGTTCTGACCACC